AAAGTATCACACAGCCTTCCCGGCCTGAAAGCCAGGGTCCTGGTGGGTTCCTCTTTCGGGAGAACAGAAACTGTGTTTACCAAAATCCCCCTTTGTCGGAAACAGACATTCCACGCTGGAAAGTCCCTCTGTGTCCATATTGTTGTTTGTGTGACAATCCATTAACTACAGACCACATGGTTGGAGGTCTCCCTGGTAACCAAGGGACTCTATTGAGGTTTGAGTCTTCTCCATTTTGGAACCATATCAAAGGGTGAGGTCATGTACATTGATGATGATCCCTTTGGGATCAGAAAGCTCAGATGTCAGTTCTTATTTTTTAATCTTTACCTGAGGATACTGAATTTTTAGAGAGAGACAGGAACATCAATGTGAGAGAGAAACATGGATCGGTTGCCTCCCTTACCTGTCCTGACCAGGGATTGAACCCACAACCTGGGTATGTGTCCTGACCAGGAATGGGACTCTAACATTTTCATGTAAGAGACAATACTCCAACCTATTGGGCCATCCAGACAGGGCTCAAATGTCAGTTCATGATGTCACCTAACCATGTCACCATGGAAACTGCCCGTGAGCACGTTTATGTAAGAATGAGTGTAACATCTGGTACAAACATTTCTCTACTTATGACTGACTTAGGATTTTTTGACTTTATGAGGATGCGAAAGTGACACACACAATAAATTATTATAAAACAGGTTTTGTGTCAAATAATTTTCCAAACTGTAGGGCAATGTAAGTGTTCTGACCACATGTAAGGTAGGCCAGGCTAAGCGGTAATATTCAGGAGGTTATGTGTTTTAAATGCATTTCTGACTAATGATATTTTCAACCTGTGATGGCTTATCGAAACATGACCCTGTTGTAGGTTGAGCAGCATCTGTACTTGTTTTAAGAATTTGTAAATTAGCTATGAACAATGAACTGTAATGGAATATCATAAAAAAATAAGGAAATCACGATCATGCTTTCTTATTTTGGGGGTCAACAGAGCACAACAATATCACTAATAAATATGGACATATTCAGGTCTATAGTATTAGAGGCTCTTTGTTAGCTAGAGTTGTAACATACAGTTTTCCACTGGCACATTTCATACAAACACAAGGGGCGGAGGAATGTAGGGGAGAGGTGAGGATCTTTAAAATAAGGACCTTTAAAAGAATGAAAACAGCCGAGACCGGTTTGGCTCAATGGATAGAGCGTCGGCTTGGGGACTGAAGGGTCCCGGGTTCGATTCCGGTCAAGGGCATGTACCTTGGTTGCGGGCATATCCCCAGTAGGGGGTGTGCAAGAGGCAGCTGATTGATGACTCTCTCATTGATGTTTCTAGCTTTCTATCTCTCTCCCTTCCTCTCTGTACAAAATCAATAAAATATATTAAAAAAAAAAAAAAAGAATGAAAACAAAACTGCTGCTAAGTTACTCCCACAGCTAGTCCTCCGGTTGTGTAATCCAGATCAATGGCTGTTGGGTCAATGTACTGGTTGACTATGGATAAATGATGCTGTATAACAAGCATCAACCTCAGCGGCACAAAGTAACGAGCATTCCCTTAGCCCGCACGCTTGTGGGTTGGCTGGGAGACCACTGATCTAGGTTTGGGGGAGCTTTGCCGGAGCAGCTCGGTCTCCTCTGGGGCCAAGAAGAGCTGGGAATATTCTTCTCACTGAGACGGCTGAAGTGCAGAGGTCAAGGCCAAACACACAGCCCATTTCAAGATCCTGGGTCACATCTGATGACCTACCATTGGCCAAAGCAACCACATGACCCCGCCCAAGGTCAACGGACAGGACGTTCACTCCATCCACCGTGGGAACTCAGCAAATTCCATCGCCATGCCCAACCTCAAAGGAGCCGGGGAATATTTCCGCCCCATGGAAAGGAGGGGGATGTGAATATTTCAAACAATAATGTAACCTTCCACAATCCCAGGTCATCCAGATAACTGGAAACATGTTAAATCGCTAAACCCTCCTCTGGCAATTGAACAAGGTGTGTAAGCGAATCCTCCTCCTGCATTGGGTAACTACCTAGAGTTTCACATTCCGCCCCTCCTTCGATTCTTTCCCGTTTTTCTATGGAACTTCCTATGAGCTCAACCCACTTGCCTTGCTTGCATTGCTTTTTTTTAGAAAGAAGGAGGGAGAGGGGCAGAGAGAAACATCAACATGAGAAAGAAACATTGATCGGCTGCCTCCTGCACACCCTTTACTGGAGATCAATTCTGCAATCCAAGCATGTGCCCCGACCGGGAATCGAACTGGTGACCTCTTGGTTCATGGATCAATGCGCAACCACTGAGCCACGCCAGCTGGGCTGCCCTGGTTTTCGATTTGAGGCTTTTCTTTGCTGTGAACCATCGTTGCACTATCGGTATATCCAGAGAGCCTGACATTCCGATCACCTGCATGGCTACCTGCTGCTGTCTCTTCACCAGTCAGCAGCCAGCCAGGGACTTTGGCAAATGAAAGCCGAGAGGTCAGAGAGCCAGGGAGCCAGGGGTGGTTCCCCCAAGAAAAGAGTGGCGCCCGTGTGAAATACAACAGGTATGACTTATGGGACGCCCACTCTCAGAATCATCGACCTGGCTGAATGTTGGATCGAACTCAACACTGCCTGATTTCGTCTGCTAAAATAAAAGACAAAGATCAGCCTTGAGAAGCTGCTGAGCAGATAAAACCAGTGTTATCACACAGACAACGCTTTCCTTAGAGTGTCCTGCAAGGCTAACTTGACCTGAGTCACTTCTTGCTTATCCCTCTGGGAATTATAAGCAAGACGTGAACTGCTTTCTGAGGTGGATCCGCCATAACTACCGACCGATTCCCTGTCATTTTAGAAAACATAATATTCTAACCCCGTGGTCAGCAAACTGCGGCTCGCGAGCCACATGTGGCTCTTTGGACCCTTGAGTGTGGCTCTTCCACAAAATACCACCTGCTTGCTACCTGGGCGAGTCTGTTTTGAAGAAGTGGTGTTAGAAGAAGTTTACGTTTAAAACATGTGGCTCTCGAAAGAAATTTCAATCGTTGCACTGTTGGTATTTGGCTCTGGGGACGGATGAGTTTGCCGACCCCTGGCCTGACCCGGCACTGCGAACACGGGCAGCAGTTACTGGAGCCACGGAAGGGAGTGGCCTTCTCATATCTAAGCTGCTTTACGACAATGTGCCCAAGCCGCTTTCATGTGGACTCGAGGGCCCCTTTGCAGCGTCTTACTAACGGCTGCCTGTGATTGGTCAGTCATTACTAATTACTGAAGTGAGGCATCCGCTTTTCTTTGGTTACTTCTGACCTTTGCGCATTTCCCGTGTCTTCCTTCCCTTCACTAAAGCCCAGTGGGTCATAGTCCCAGTGTGTAGTGAACTGAGGGTGTCTTCTGTAGTATGGATCATCCTGAGGTCATCCTATGCACCCCAGGATGATCCATACTACAGAAGACACCCTCAGTTCACTACACACTAAAACAAACCAGGACTCCTGGTGCCAGCGATGGAACAGGCTGGGCTGTGAGGTGGGCAGGGCTCTGTGACGAGGGGAGCACGGAGCTGCGCCCTCTAGGCCAGCTCTGCACCACACCGCGGGGATCTCTGTGTGCACATGGATTCGAAGTGGCCAGTGCGTCCACGGGAGTGGCCTGGCCTGGACACTCTCAGAATTGCTACAGCCGCTGCCCAGGGGACCGCCCTCTGGCCTCAGTAATTCTCATGATAACCGGGACATGCCGGGCAATGTATGTTTTCAAAACCTTGATTCAGCGCTTGCATAGGCTTCGCTTTGGGGCGACACGTGCCATGTCTTCAGGTTACTGCTGGATGGAGAGCAAAAATACTCATTGGCTCATAAGGCTGAGTACAAATGACTGCACATCGGAGCCAGCTGTGCAGACCACTAGCTAGTGTGTGCAGAGAAGCTGAGCAGGAATACCCAGCTTAACTGCTCTGAGAGCAACCTGATCGACTGGTCTTAGTGGCTAACCGACAATATTGTATCTCTACGTCCTTGTGATTTGTGAGCCTCAGGGCCATCACTCATCTGCTCCCAACAGGGCCCCTGGTCACTGGAACCCTCGTAACCACAGTCCACTGCTCGCAGCCTAACGTAGGGCGAGAAGAGATGGCGGAAACCCAGATACACGGAGCAAGCTCCGGGGCCGGAGAGGCGGCGCGAAAACCAGCAAAACCTCCAGTTTCACCAAAACCCTCTATCAAAACCCACCGGAGCCACGAAGAAAGCCATGTTCCAACCTCATGTTCTTAAAGGGTTGCGACCAAGCTTCACAGCCCCCCTCCAAATTCTTCTCTGATTCCTTCCATAATAACCCTCCTGTTACTCCACATTCACTACGTCTCTGCAGCTCGGCATGGCCACCTGTTTATCTGCTGTCCCCGAGTTATTCTGGGGTGCTCTCATCACACGTGTCTTCAACTGCACATCAGGCCCTCCTAAAACAAGCCATGAGCTTTTAACCCCCCAATTCTCTTAGAGCAGCGATATGGGGCACCCGAAAGCCTTAGCTGGAGGAAGCAAAGAAGATGGAAGGAAGAGAGTGATGAGGGAGGAGGAGGGAGGGGGGCAAGGCAGGGCGGCCAGCATGTGTTCTTCCAAAGGCTGAGGAATTACGTCCTGGTTCAGCTCTGGTTCACATACGCAGTGCTTCTGAGACTGAAGGCAAAGACACACCTTCGGACTAACCTGAATGTCCAGGAGAGATTTATAGTTTGTCCAATGGCGGTGAATGAAGGATCATACAATGGGGCCGTACAGCCGGCCGAGTACAGTAATGCAAGCAGCCTGGCGCCTCCATGGGAGTGGGGACTGAATGACCAGTGAACCCCAACACAACGCTACTCACTTCACAAACGTTTCTGCTTTACGGCACCTTCTGATCCTCGCCCCGGTTTGCGATTTCTATAGCCAAACTAAGCATGACTCAGAGGGCTGGCAACGAATCCACCCACGTGAGCCACGGCTGTGTCAGGGCGGATACAGTACCTCCGAGCAGCTGGGCGAGAGGTACCTCCCGTTGCACTTGGCGATGCTCCGCAGAATCTTCAGGGCCTCGTCGCCTCTCTTCCGCGTCACCAGCCAGCGGGGCGACTCGGGGACCGCCCTGGAGGGAGGAGGCATTTCTGAGTTACGAGTAGGAATGTCAAAACCTGGGCTTCTGCCGGGACCGGTTTGGCTCAATGGATAGAGCGTCGGCTTTGGGACTGAAAGGTCCCGGGTTCGATTCCGGTCAAGGGCATGTACCTTGGTTGCGGGCACATCCCCAGTAGGGGGTGTGCAAGAGGCGGCTGATCGATGTCTCTCTCTCATCGATGTTTCTAACTCTCTATCTCTCTCCCTTCCTCTCTGTACAAAATCAATAAAAATATATATTTAAAAAAAAAAAAAAAAAAAAAAAAACCTGGGCTTCTATGACACGAGTTTCCCTATCAAGATGGGTCTTTCCGCTCGATGCCAACGTAGGAGAATCTTCGAGCTGAGAAGGTTCTGCAAACCACAGGTGGTCTTTGCCGGTTTATTGGGGAAGGAAAAGACGCTCACTCGGCAGCAGGGTCCTGGCTCACCGTACTCAGGGTTACATATTACACTGCTCTGGCAAGTCCGGGAGCCTCTGGGGCCGTTATGCATGGAAAGAGCTGGGGTGTAGTGAGCATTCGGGACACGGTTAAAACCCCAAATTATGTAAACGGATTTGCCCACAGATTAACGTGAGAGGAATGACTGAAATAGGTTCACTCCACCCAGAGTCCAATGCACAGACCTGCAGCTTTCTGTGACGTTTCTCACGCTCTTAACATTCTATTACTCCTCAGAGAATCTCTGAGCAAAATAATTTGTTTCACAGAATATGCAGAGGAGCAAATCAATGTCGTTGCATTTATTTTGTGTTGAAATACATGCTGGCAGATATGTGGGGTTTTTCTTTTTTTCTTTTTTGCCCTGTAGTTTTCATGGAGATGTTACAAAATAAAATATAATTTGTGTTTTGCTATTTCGTTAATTTAGTTGAGTAACAACTAACTATTAGTCAATTAATCAATAAATAACCTCTATAAATTTTCCAGTTCTCTAGAAATTCTCAACACCCGTTGCCATTCCGGAGATGTTAGCACCACCCCTGGATGGTTTCCATGGTTGCGTTGCCCTGGAATCTGCATGCATGAATAAGCATGGAGTAAGCATGCCTTCAATGACGACGAGCCACGTTACCAGTAATAGAGGAGGAAGAGGAAGTTGGGCAGCGTGATGGCCAGCTGGATGCCCTGCCAGTTAGGGATGAAGTAGGCGATTCCCGGGAGAATGATGATCCCCAGCGTGAAAAACATCTGAATCACGATCCCCACAATCCTCCTCTGCTTCGAACCCACGATCTCCGTCACTGAGGGGAGACAAGCACAGAGGCCTGGGGACTCACCGTCGGCTCCAATGCGGACAGACAGAGGCGGCACCTGCTGCACGTGCGGAGCTCCAGGGCCACGGAGCGGGCCCGGCACAGCCTCCCGGGCTGCGCGGCAGCGGGCGGCCAGACCGCCGGACAGCGCCGCTCTCCTCCGTCAGCCTCGGCCTCCCCGCTCCCGCACCAGCCCGCGCTCTGCTGGGAATACAAACCCTGTGAGTGCGGCTTCTCGAACGCCTCCCTGAGGACTATTTGGGAAAGGCTTGTGATTAGGAAAACAGAAGCATAACAGCGCGTCAGGCTTTATCGCTGCTCTCTAAAGAGATTCGGAATGTTAGACTACACATTTTCACTAACACAGAAAGTTCCTCTCAAAGGATAACTCTCCCCACCGTGCTGGACATTTCATGTGTGATATTTCTTTAAAAGTCCCTGGGGGCGAAACCGGTTTGGCTCCGTGGATAGAGCGTCGGTCTGCAGACTGAAAGGTCCCAGGTTTGATTCCGGTTAAGGGCATGTATACCTTGGTTGCGGGCACATCCCCAGTGGGAGGTGTGCAGGAGGCAGCTGGTCGATGTTTCTCTCTCGTCGATATTTCTAGCTCTCTATCCTTCTCCCTTCCTCTCTGTAAAAAACACACACACACACACACACACACACACACACACACACACAATAAAACAATAAATATATTTTTTTAAATCCCTGGGGATGGGGCGTGGTGGGTCCTGGCCAGTTAGCTCAATGGTTAGAGTGTTGGCCTGCAGACTAAAGGGTTGCAATTCAATTCGGGTCAAGGGCACATGTACCTTGGGTGCAGGTTTTTATGCCCACCCCCAATCGGGGCACATGAGGGACACAACCAATCAGTATGTTTCTCTCATGTTGATGTTTCTCTCTGTGTGTCTCTCTCCTTCCCTTCCACTCTCTCTAAACATCAATGAAAATATCCTTGGGCAAAGATGGACACACACAAATCCCTGGAGGTTCTTATGGCTGGCATCTCCCCCTCCCCCCAATCAGTCTCTCTGTGTGGCTAAGTCTATTCTGAACCTAGCACTTCTTGCCCTAGCACCACGACTTTTAACATTCACTAGACTTGGGTTTCCTTAAAAATGCTTCATATTGCAGAAACCGGTGTGGCTCAGTGGATAGAGCGTCGGCCTGCGGACTGAAAGGTCCCGGGTTCGATTCCAGTCAAGGGCATGTACCTTGGTTGCGGGCACATCCCCAGTATGGGGTGTGCAAGAGGCAGCTGATGGATGATTCTCTCTCATTGATGTTTCTAACACTCTATCCCTCTCTCCCCCTCTCTGTAAAAAATCAATAAAATATATATTTTTTTAAAAATGCTTCATATTTCAAAGTTATCCCTTCCGCCCCAGCCAGCAACAGTCACCCTCCAGACACTCTCTCTTCTTCCTCGCCCATAGAGGGCCTTCCGAGGGCCTCCAAAGGGGGCGCTGCCTCGCATAACAGGACCGATTGAGGATCGGGGAGTGACCCTCAGATCTCCCTGGTCACCCATCCTCCGAGACTCACAGAGGAGGGGACCGTCCAGACTCGCCCGGAGACAGAGCCACAGCAGCGGCCAGGACTTTCCCGGTGACGTGAGCAAAGACCTTCCCAGAAGGTCGCCTCTCTTTAGGGCACAGAGCAGAGGCCCCCAACCGGAAGGCTCCCCGCGCTCAGTCACACTCGGGTGCTGCCACGATCTCCACGTCCGCGGAAGGACTGACACAGGAGAGGCATCGCGAGCTCTACCACAGACACACACGGAACGTCCTTCCAAACGGTCTCAGGGAACTACTGCAATTTTAATAAAAGTCCATCTCTGATCAAGCAAAGCAAAACCACCCTGTGACAGCAGGAGGGCAGAGCTGGAGAGTGGTCACCCCAGGACTGTGTGACATTCCATGTTTGGTGCCAGAGTAAGGGGGCACTGCAGTTCCCAGAGAGGCAGCGCCCTGCCCGCACCCTCCCGTGTGCAGCCCGAGGCCACCACCCCGCACGGGAAGGTGGACTGGCCCCCAGGCCCCCCACCCCTCTGGCTCCCAGGCAGGCAGGGCGAGGCGTGACTCACCGATCACGTAGCAGGTCATCCATGTCCCCTTCCCGAACACGCCTTGGAGGAAGCGGAAGACCACGAACACGGGGAAGTTGGGTGCGAACGCCACCACCACGCCGGTGACGCCCACGCCGAAGCAGGAGATCAGGTACACCACGAGCCGGCCGTACCTGTGCGGGGAGGACGGCGCCTGAGCCCGCTCTGCGGCTGCAGGAGGAGGCGCTGCGGGCGGAGGCCGAGGGTAGGAGGCAGGGGGCGGGGAGCAGGGGGCAGGGGGCAGGGGGCAGAGGGGGGGTGCATTTCTCCGGCGCCTGAGCCTCGGTTTGCTCGCTCCTGTTCTTTGTTAGTTTGTTTTCCTTCTCGACAGTGAAAATTCTTTACAACGTCCAAACCAACCTGAGATGTTCTCCTGTGTTTCATGTCGCCCCTGACATACGATGAATAGGTGGTTTAGGGAAGGGGAAGGGGGTACCGTGTCCAAGAAACCCGCCAGTCTGAGGCTGAATGGCTCCGTGGAGTGGTGCCAAGTTATCGGCCGTGAAATTTGTTGCCAACGACCTTTAAGAGATTTGACCTGGTGACAGCCTCCCTGGCACTTCCCGCCGCGCTCACAGGTGGAGCATCTGCCTGTCAGCGGAGCAGAGGCAGAAGGAGCCGAGTGTCTGATTCACTCTCCGCCCTCCTGGCCTGTGGTCCTGTTTCCTATCCTTTCCTTCCGGCTACAAACAGGAGGAGGAGGAGCGGAGAGATGGCCGGCCGGGTGCTGAGGCAGAAGTATTCATGGATCTGTCGTCTCCCCAGGACCCAGCCGCCTCCCCCTAACACAGCGGGGCCCTGAACACCGGCCAGCACCAGCTGTTCCGTGTGAAGACATGTGTGGACGGTGCCAGAGACCCATGCAGAAGGAGCAAATGCCAATGTTTAACTAAGAACAACAATAGCCCTCGCTGGTTTGGCTCAGTGGATAGAGTGTCAGCCTGTGGACTGAATGGTTCCAGGTTTGATTCCAGTCAGGGCACAGGCACAGGGTTCTGGCTGGATCCTCAGTGTGGGGCGTGCAGGAGGCAGCCAATCAGTGATTCTCTCTCATCATTGATGTTTCTATTTCTCTCTCCCTCTCCCTTCCTCTCTCTGAAGTCAATAAAAATATATTAGAAGAAGAAGAAAAAGAAGAAGGAGGAGAAGGAGAAGAAGAAGGAGAAGAAGGAGAAGAAGAAGAAGAAGGAGAAGAGCAACAACAAATGAAAGCAGGGCATAGGAAAGACATCGCTCAATTCCAGATCGCAGGCAGCAGGAGAGAGCGTGTCACACTGGAAGGTTGAGAAAGGAAAGACGGATGGACAGGGCTGAAGCAGAAACAGCAGGAAAACACACGTACAACAAGAGAAAGAGCCCCGGACACACAGGACCAAGGAGACAGTTGCGTGCAGAGAGGGCCGGGGGGGCAGCAAGAGGACCCTCCGAGCGGACGAAGGGGAGGACACGAGACCAAGGGCGCCACGTCCTGACGTCTTGGTCTGG